TTTTGTATGTATTCAAAAATATTGCATGCTTTGTGCAAGTTAGCATTCAAAATGATTCGGTACACTGATTGTCTTTGGATTAAATGTGATCCTCAGGTGGATTGTGTGGGTTTGAAACAGCCATTTTTATTCTACCTGAGAGTGAATGGGGCCAAGGGTGACCTGGATGACCTACGACCCTTTCTTCATGTTTACACGAGAGGTTTGAGATAGAAAAAAAGTTTTTTTCCCAGTAAGCTAAGTCAAAAATACTTCCTTTGTTAGTTTTTGAAGACGTTTGGTGGATGTTTTTATTTTCATTTGAAGAAACAAAATAATTCTTGGATAAAATTTACAACTTCTTCTAAAAAAAAGTCCTGTTATTTTTAGTTTGACTTGTTAGGACTCCCCATGTCCTGATAGATGTACATTTAGTGGTAGATTTAAACTTTCTAGTTCAAAGTGACCTGTTCCCGCTTCTTTCTTCCTAAAGGAGTACCTATTAAAAAAGATCTCTAAAGCCTAAATAATTTAGACATGCATCTGCTTTAACCCATAGAGACCTCTGAGCACATTGAACTCAAACATGTGCTAACGTCAGAGAGTATCGAGCTGCAGCTATGCTGCAGGAGGCCAGATGGTGAGGTTTATTCTGGGACAGGTATGCTCGGTCTAAAAAAGCGGGAGAGACACACGTGAAAGTGGATAAGTGCCATAACCATAAACCCTTAAAGGAAAACAGTTCTACTGGGAAAAGAAGGTTTTAATTTTCTTTTTCATGCTAATGTAAGCTATCATCTGCCACCGACAAATGACCCTAGACTTTCATTCCTGCTGATCTTGAACACACCACAACTACTTTCAAATAGTTTCCAACATGGGGATTCACTGCCCTCAGACTTGATGAAAGATTGATCCTTTCCTCGCAGACGTCGTTCGACAAACACAAAACCACACTCACCGCACCGACGAGCAGACCGAGCAGGGAATCCCTGCCACTGAGAGGCTAACAGCTGGTAGACAGCAGCTTGGCCAGCGTGTGTTTGCCTCATTCATCGATTGTGAATTGATTTTGAGCTCATATTGCTGACTTGTTCTGTAAGCTGGGCCTGACTACAGGGTTGTAATTTAGTTTGTTATAATCATTGTACTTCTTGTGTTTTTCCAAGTCAACCTTAAGCTACTCTGACTCCTCTAACTGAAGCCTTTCTAAGAAAGTAGCAATTAAAAACTACTTTTAAAAGATGTATTTGTTTCTTTAACCGACAGTAAGCTTTTTACATCAGCAGTTTTACAATTTATGTTTATTTCTGTCCTCCTGCACGGATATTCAAAAATGACAAATGCCCCTAACAATCTGAGAATCACAACTTCTGTTTTTATTTCCTGATACTAAATGTTGGTGTTTATTTGTACCTTTTCTTGCTGATGGTGTGAAAGCTAACCAATGGCACGACAATCTTTAGAATTCTGTCGCACTTATTTTTAATTGACTGTTTACAAACCAGCTAATAATAAAGCTACAATGGCAAATTTGCAAAGCAAGCTAGCTTAAAACATCTAAAAATCTCAACCAATAGCACGGCTCGGTCTGAAACCAACAATTTGACCATCTGGTTGTCTGTTTCACCGAACCACTCATTATGCGCCTGCACATTTTATAACAGAACACCACTGGTGTGAGAGGTTCTCCGCTCAATAATATCAGACAAGGAGAAGCAGCCGGCTGCTACCACTTCAAATTTAGGACTAACTTCCAGAGTCCCAAAAAGAAAAACACCATTTGAAGTTGCAGACAACAAAAGACGTTTGGATCCAGAAAACGGCTAGCGGTGATTAGTGCTCTTAGTTACGTGGGCAATGGAGGTTCCAGTATCTGGTGGACATGACCCGGGAATGATAACTGACGGGAAGGGGGAGAGTTCTGTGTTTGTATTAAAAAGCTAGCTTGTTTTGTAGATTTGCTTGTTTAACGTGGAATTATACAAATTCTAAATTAAAAGACAAATAAATCTAAGTTGTGGTGCAGCCACTCGTGTGCATGTTACAACAGCTTAGCACATTCAGACCTGTTAAACTTGTACAAGATTTTTTAATGAATGAATGAATTAGAGGTTGGACCCTCTAATCAACTGTGATCCATTATTGAATCTTTGCTTGTTAATCCCAGAGCACATTTAGCAGATTTTATGCTGAGGCTCTGCAGGAATCTCTTCTCATTGAACTTGGGAACTCAAAGGCCTCTTTCACAAAATAGTTCAACCATGTGGCCGCTAAGGAATAAAAAGCCCCTCTTCGAGGTTCCTCACACCATTCATAAATTGAGATTCAAGCCGGCAACTTGTGGCATTGACGTGAGCTCTTTTTGATGAAAGCGGTATTGTGGAACCAGAGGAGGTGTTGAGTTAAACTCAATCTTTACTGACGAGGAGCATTTTATATGATATTTGTGTTGGGCATCTCTTGTTCCAAAACCCTTTGCTGAACCTGTCATCACTTTGTTACGCCATTGATCAACCCTAATAGTCCACTTATCCTTTTAACCCTCTGGAGGCAGGCGTTGCAGATTTAACGTTAACATTAAAACCTATCTACCTGGTTACTCCACACACGTATTTCATGAGCATTTTTTAACTCAGAAGTACCCCTGAAGGACTTAGTTGTTTGTCCTTTTATCACAACTTATTTTGAGCCTGAGAGGGCTGAATGTGGACTTTTAACAGCCCTGTCTCTTATTTGTTTGATGGATCAGAAGTGTTACAGCAGCAGGTTGACTTTACCTGTCCCCCATTAAGACCGTTTCACACTGTGTGTTTTTCAGCTGTCGTAAAGAACTGCTTCATGTCACATTGTGTGAGCTCTAGAGGTACAATAAATAGCCAAACAACAGACTAATGTCTCGCTCTTAAAGGACAGGCCCGTTACAACTAGAGGGTTGCAGGATTGAGTCCAACTCAGTCTGTCACAGTTGTTGTGTCCTTGGACCAGACACAACCATGCCTGCTGGTAGTGGTCGGAGGGACCAGTGGCGCCGATGTTTGGAAGACTTGCTTCTGTCAGTGTGCTCCAGGGCAGCTGTGGCTACGTTGTAGCTCATCACCATCAGTGTATGTGCTTGGGTGAATGACTGGGTGTGTTGGGAAGCTCCTTGGGAGGTTGTAGAACCCATGCTTTGCATGTCGGTCTAGGCATGTTCCATGGGAACCTCCACAAGCCAGTATTGTGGCTGACCAATCACAGCACGTTTATTTAGAAAAACGATGTATTGTTTTGTATTTTTATGTAACTCTTCTACGATGAAATGGTGGATTGTCCCGTTGACAGACATTCCGTAGTGGTATAATCACATCGCTCTATTGGTTTGACACAATCACAGCACTCAATCAGCCAGGTGAATAGGATGTTGATTACTTCATCTGAGCAGTAAAGTTGGCAATCACAGTACTCAGTTAGTTTGTTGGGCCAATCACAGCATTCCGTGGGCGGGATGTTACTGAAAAACAAAGATGGCGACGGGCTTCAACTTTGGACTATTTTGACTTGGGCTTTTCTTTGAGTCAAGTGCAGATAGAAGCACTTAATTTCATTTAGAAAAAGGATGTATTTGCATCTTCATTGACGGGGTATGGCGGACTGCCTCGTTCACTGACACCAGTAGCGGTGAGTACGTCACGTTGTTTGTTATCCAATAGCATGTGGGGACAGTCTGAAAAACAACCGTAGCTCCTGCCTCACAACTGGGGAGTACTGCTTTGGAGTATTAAAAGGAGGAATAGGCCTTTTATAAAAATAAAACAAAACACTGGCTGAGCAAAAAAAATTGTGACTTTACATAATTTAAGCATAACTTGTCATTTTGTGGCATTTAGATCTAAAGTTTGATCTAGAAAAGGGGAAAGGAGATGGTTGATGTGTTTTATGAAGCTAAAAGAGAAATTGAGTGTGAGTTTTAGAGTCTGTTATTGAATTTGTCTAATCTTTTTTACTTTCAAGATTCAAGATAATTTACTGTCATTGCACAAGTGTACAACGAAATTGACTTTGCCCTCACTAAAGACGGCTCATGTAGGAGGTAGTAAAGTATGAGTAAAACGAAATAAGGCTAAAATAAATTCAATTCAATTCAATAATACTTTATTAATCCCAGAGGGAAATTAGAGTCATGCACACGCACACACGCACGCACGCACGCACGCACGCACACACACACACACACACACACACACACACACACACACACACACACACAGCCAGTTTAAGGTGTAAAAATATAATGTAAACATGGTATTAGACCAGGCCTAAACGACACACTGAAATATAAAGTGAACATAATATGAATGTGAACAGTGACATATGGAGGTGTTAGGGTTGTCACGGTGTGAAAATTAAACCTCACAGTTATTGTGACCAAATTTTTTTCGGTATTATTGCAGTATTTTTTTAAGCGTGTTACATTTTCAGATAACTAAATAAACGCATATCGGGAAAATATTGTCCTCGGTTTGGGTCCTTCCAGTGAGCTTTGCAGATTTGGGAAAATGTCATCAGGCAGTAATCATTGTTAAATTCATATTTATTCTCGGAGAGAGACCAACTCTTATCTGCCCCTGGGAGCCCCTGGGAGCCCCGTAATGCATAGTGTCATTTCAACATGGCGGTGTCTGCGACGCGGTTTATATGCAGGTAGCGGCGCTGCGGCTGCTTTATATAGCGACTCCTTGCATTCTCCCTCAACCCAAATCCTCGGATCACACATTTTAGCTAAAACGCTAACGTTAGCTTGCCTTGCGTTGACTGTAGAGTTGTGGGTGATGGTCACGCAGGTGTGTCATGAGATTTGAAGCGTTGCTGCCTTTCACAGACACTTTTTCTGCACGTGCTGCAAACAGGACAGCCGTCTTCTATCAACTGTCCCTCGGCATTCTAAATGCCCATTCTTCTGACTTTGTCTTCTATGAGGGATAATAAATGTCCTGAGCGCTGCCGTCTCCTCTTTTGGCCATTATTTCAGCTTTAGCTTCAAGAAAGTTTTGGTTGTAAACAACAAAGTGCGCATGTGCTGCTGGCAACTTCAGCAGATGATACGGTGGCTGGTAAGGGTCACCGAACCTACACCGCAGCCACGGTAATCCACCAAGATCAAATATTTTTTTAAAAACAAGACGGTTATTATTATTGTCAACTTTTTTACTGGGGTATACCGCTACACCGGTTACCGTGACAACCCTAGGAGGTGTCAGGATGAACTAGCTAATTTAAAGGTGCTGTAATGCACTAATTGTTGATGTTTCTATAAACTTTGTTTTTTATAAGCTTTGTTTTAATGTGATTGCCAGAAGAGCACAAGAAACCAAACACTTGCTGTCTTCATTTAAGCATTTGTAATAAAGACCCTGTCACCCCATGCTGTGTTTTGTATGTGCCAACTTAAAGCACCCCTCCCCCTTTATTTGCTCTGAGTCCGCTAACCCCCTCCCGCTGCGTGCTGACCAGCCCTTCGCCATGCCTGCAGCAGATAACGTCGCATTTTCCAGCAGACATACCAGAGAGGCTGCTGCTTTAGCGGGAAAGGAAGAGCTCCGAAAGAGGGAAAGAGGGCGACACCGTGGGAGGGGCGTGGGGGAGAGAGGGGAGGATCCCTTTTACACTGAGTTCAGCCTCAGTGGGAGAGGCGTGTTAGAGAGAGCAGTGCGGGGAGAGGAACTCGTTGCAGTGCAGGTGGATCACAGCTGTCTGAAGAGGAAGACTCAGTGTGGCTGTCCTTTAGGTTGGTCCAGCTGATTCCTACTGATAATAGCTGTTTGTTGCGTGGACGGCGCTGCTCTGTGCCTGCGTTTGTATGAATGGATGCTGTGTTCTCCATCATCAGGGCTGTTAATTCACCAGTTGTGTTGCTTCTGTGTAGTCGAGACATTTTGGGTCACAGCTCGAGTAGACACATCCTGTGATCAGCTCACCCACAGTTTTAGAGTTTGAGAGATATCAGGTGCAGGATAACTCAGTCAGCTCAAAAACTTGATCAGACTTTCAGCTTTGGGCACTTTTGCAGATTTGGTTTGCAGAGTGCAGCTGAGGCCATTTTCCCTCCTTTCAGATTGAGTTCTTTTACTGTGGACAAGAATAGAGCTGGGAGCTTTGAAAGGCTCTCAGTATGCATGTGAGCGGTGTCGCCTTCTCAAGTGTCAGCATGCTTATGGGAAGGTGGTGGTGGGAGTGGTACGCTGGGGGTGGTAAATTCAGGAGCTTGTAGTTTGCAGAGGGGGCTGGGCTTTACGCATCTGGGTTATCTGCCTGATAAGACATGAGTTCTCACCTGCGTTTCGATCACGTAAATGTTATAAAACCAGCGCGTAAAGTTAAACATCTCCTATCTCTAGTCTTAATGGTTGTTAAAAGGGGAAGTGAAGTTTTAGTGAATTTTTCTGTTCATAGGGTGTCTGTTTTCTGCTGACTGAGCAGTGATAAGGAGCCATTTGGAGAAGCTTGTTTCTATTTCTGACCTTTGTTTTCCTGGGTGTCTCTATGAAAGCCCCCCTTTCATGGCTGATGAGAAAGATTGTGGATTCATAGCTCTTGTGTGCAGGTCCTCTGCTTGCCAGTCCTGACTTTCAGCCCAGAGTTGCCTCATTTCTTAGATTACAAGATTCATTTTGGTGTCTTCTGCATTCTGTGCCTCGGAGTTTCTTTTATCTCAATGAAATCAAGGAAAACAGAAACCATTTCAGCCCAAGAATCTCTGATTTCAACAATTAACCACAAATATTTCCCCTCTGCTGAGCACTTTATCTGTATGATTGAGATTTGGGGCCAAGTTCATTCTTGTTTGTGCTGGGGTTTTATTTTTATTTTTTATTTTTTGCAATATTTATATACGCTGTAGATTTCTGCTATAAGACCAACCACAGCAGATCCTGCGGTGCAAATGAAATACATGCAGGTTGTGTTCAGCCAGAAATGGTAAACACATCAGTTTGTTGTGCTTACAGAAGCGAGTATTTAACTTAAATACATTATGTAAACTTTGTATTGTTCCACTCTGTGCCGTTCCTCTTGGCCAAAGCAGCTGAAATACCTTTAAGTTCTTTGATTAAACATGGAGGATTTTGAACCAACCGTGGCTTCATAATCCAATATGGCTGCCTCATGCAGACAGCTGCAGAAACAGTTAGCTTATTTGTATTTTATTAAAGTAAGCATTTAAACATTTAGTGCTGTGTAATGCTGTAATATTGATTTTGAAGCTTAAACAAAAACAAAAAATGCCCCCTATTCAGTTGCAGTAAACCCCGCCCCCTCCATGGAGATGAAAGGGGCATTTTGTGGATTATTTTGATGTTATGCTGTAATTGGTAATTTAACTGTCTTAAGATAATAATAGCACTTTTTTTCCTTTAAACTAGTGCTTTAATTAACATTGACCTCAGTGATTGTTGGGTTAGAAACTTGACCAGTTTCATATTTGACACAACTCTCTAGGCTTCTGCTGACCAAAACTGCACTTGACAATTTTTTGGAGCAGGTAGGTGTCGCTGCTTACTTGCGTTACAGCTGTCAGCTGTAATGCCAACGGTTAGCATTTTCAGGTTGCCGATTACCAATAAAAAGTACAAGAATAAGAAGTTTGGAAGTGAAGCTAAAGCTAAACCCAGAGTGAACATCGGCATGGCCTGTGGTAGCTAAAAGAGGCTGCAAAACCAAGGACTGATGGTGACCTGGCTTTATTGCTACTGGACTTGTAAGCTATATATTGCTTTGTCCAACAGTGTGAATAATTTTACTTTGTGTGTTTTTTAGTATTAGTTGGCTCATGTTAGCGTTAGCTCACGTTAGCTACAACAGGCTGCTGCAGTGTTTTTTATGACAGGTGTTATTCCACTTTCAATTAGTAGGGCAGAGGGGCAGAAAACTGCTCAGTGTTACAATAAGCACTTATATTTTATTATAGTTTATAGGGCTGCATGGTGGCGCAGTGGTTAGCACTGTTGCCTCGCAGCACGAAGGTTGCAGGCTCGAAACTCGGCTGCGGCCTTTCAGCGTGGAGTTGCGTGTTCTCCCCATGCATGCGTGGGTTTCCTCCGGGTACTCCGGTTTCCCCCACAGATCACAACACGCCCTATAGGTTATAAGTTGTAAGTCGCTTTGGATAAAAGCATCTCCTAAATGAATAAACATGAACATTATCTTTTATAATAATGAGTGTGATGTCATTTTTTTTATACATAAATGGACCGCAGGATAAATTCTTAAAGATTAGCTTGTATCCAAAGCCCCGCTTCTCTTTCTTCTTTTACTAAAATCTTTGACATTCCATTTCCTTTCTGCTGAATGAGGATTTCAGACTGAAGCAGCAACTTGCCGTTGTGTTTTAAGAGACTAATTAAAAATGGTTAAGTAAGTACTCTATTTATTAGAATATTTTAAGATCAATAGTACTTTAAAGTTATCAATACTGTAATCAAGTAGCATTTCTAAGCTCCTCGTCCATGTTTTGGCGGTTGGGTTTGTGCTGTAGAGCCATTCTGCGTCGTAATCTTTGTAATAAAGTACTCCACAATGTTGTAAACAGCCTAGCTACGGCGCTTGAAATAAGACCGGCGCCTCAGTGTGGACCGGCGTTTTTGGGATGTGGCGTTGCGCTCCCCGTGGAGCCACACTTAGTAACTACAATGGCTTCTTTTTAAAATGATGGAGTGGGCGCAGCACATCTGTCTTCTGTGTGCCCCAGGCTTTAGATTAATCTTTGGACGTCTAATTTATCTACGCTCAGATATGGTACAATAAAAATGTACACATCTGTTTTCTTGAATCTATTTTCAAAGTTATAGACTAGATATTTCATGAATTGATGATGGATATTTTAATCTCTAAGTAGTATTTTGTCTTCAAAGCAAACAAATAAAAAATACATTTTCAATAGTAATCATTATTCTGTTTTTTGTTTGTCTCTTTGTTCTACAAATTTCTCCTCAGCTGTCATTTTCTGCTTTTGATCTAGGAAGTATTCATAACATGAAACCATTAATGATATTACTGCACTTCCTCAATCTGAACTTTCTCTTACAAACATATAATCACCTAAATTTAACACGTTTGTGCACAAAGTAGTGAAGAAACCGAGCCTCGTGAGTTTGTAGTAAAGAAAAATAAATTAAATTTCTTAGTTTGAGGGTTACAACAGTGCAGATTTAGAACTATGTGGAAGAAGTCGAAGCCGTTTTGCATATTTGAGATGAGAAACGAGCTTCGATGTTATGAGTGTCTGTTGTTTTCCTCTCGTTTTGTCATTTCCTCCACAGCTGGTCCTGGGTTGAAGGGGAAAGAAAAATATTACTTTGAGATCTTAAATCTAAACACTGGTCCTGCCAGCGGGTCGTGTCCTCCCCTCTGCTAACACTTCGGTAATAAAACATATCGTCAGATTTCATAATCGCAGCGATTAGGACACACAGACCGGATTTAACATTTCAAATAAAAGTAACAATCAAAGCTAACTGGACAAACTGTTTGCATCATTATGGAGATCGGTAACCTAAAGATCTGATAGATTCTTCACTTCAAGATTGAGTTTGAGATTGTCTTTTTTAAATCGGTCTAATTGTTCATTCTGACAGGAGCAATCTCCCAGATGAATGTCCTCACATTGAGGCCCCCATCAGCTCCCCCTCTCATCTCAGGTCAGGTCTCTGTGGTGTGATCTGACCTTCTAGGGGTCATGAACTTATTAAAATACACTCGGGGCTGTAATATTAACACAGCCTCTGATAGACAGCAGTAGAAAGGAGGTCTCATGCAATCACTGATGGATGTAGGTCCACAATTCCTCCTATACTTGAAAAAAAATATCCTAGGTTAGATTTAGCGTTAAGGTCACCTGTTACAGACAAACATGATAATAATTTTAAAGTTGCGTAGAAGCCTCCACTTTGTTCCAGGCTTATCCTGCAAAATTTTGGTTAAAAAACTCTTAACTTTGGTCAGTCAGTAAAAAAAATTTACAAAAAAAAAAAAAACAAAAACGTTATTTTAGATGTATTTAGATTTTCTACCATCAGCCCCATACATTAAGCTATTGCTCCAACACCTTAAAGGTGTTTGCACAATGCATAGTCCAAAGGGACGTGATGGAACAGTTAAAAAGTACCTGATAAAGTTTGAGACCAGTTAAAGCATCTTCAAACAGCCAGAAAACAAGATTAAATGGTGAAGTTTGTCCTTTTTACTTTATTTAAAATGGTTGTGTGCAGTAATGTGTTATTCTTTTAAACAACAGCTTTTTTAATATTCTCATGCAAAGCAACGTTGAAACAAAGAATTTTGAGCTGATCGTTTGCATGAAGGATTGTAACTGTAAAGCTCACGAGTTGGCACCAGACGTCATGCATCAGCAACGGTTGTTTTATGGATTATGCTCAGCTCAACATGTTGGTAAAATGTACTAAAACATCTTTCTTTGTGTTTTGTGAAATATTTTTTTGTAAGACAATAGTAAAATTGCCTGTATTTAGATATAGCGACTTCTAGAGTCCTAGAACCCCCCAAAGCGCTCTACAACACAATCAGTCATTCACCCAGGCACACACACATTCACACCCTGGTGATGAGCTATATTGTGGCCACAGCTGCCCTGGGGCCCACTGACCGGAGCACTGGTGCCATGGTCCCTCTGACCACCACCAGCGGGCAAGGCAGGTTAAGTGTCTCGCCCAAGGACCCAACGGCAACATTCTCTGCCTAGAGCTGAGATCAACCCTACAACCCATTGATTAC